CTAAAAGTTGACGTAGAGCAGCAAAAATGAGTGGTGGTGCAGAAGTTCATTGCCAAATCTGTCCAAATTATGCTTGAGATTTTCTTGTGTACATTTAAAATAAAATTCACAAGAAAAAACTTAGCTCTTAATATAAATTAAATCTGATTAATTTTTAAAATATGGAATATGATTTTAAATGATAAATAGAGTGAAAACAGCTTTATTGCCGGCCCTAAGGATTTGAAAGGGGGTTTAGGGCCAAAAAAAGAACAGATATACTATGACGGTTTCAGATGAGAAACAATGTGAATGCACTAAGATCTGCAGTTGACTTTCATTCCTTAAAAAAAAAAAGAACAATGCACATAGTATATAGAAGACATCAGAACATCATCATGTCTTTTTCGTAAGTTGTTTGCAAATTTTTGGATGACAAGCAGCTCAGCTAAAATGGGGCCTGTTGGAGAATGATCTTGTTGTACATTGTATTTTGGCTTTTTTTTTATGGTTAATCTTTTGATCCATTTTCAAATTCATTTGAAATGTAAAAAGTTTGTCTTTCAAATGTGAAAGCGGCACTGAAAATTGAACCAAAACACATAACAAGATTATGCCAAACGAGCTCCAAATGAATCCGAACATAATAAATTGTAGCATGGAAAGGAAAAAATAATCTTTTCTTTTCCTTTTTATTAAATGGCACCTTAATTAATGACGACAAAATAATAATAATTACCTTCTGGTAAACTCATTATTTCCAATGCGTCCTCTGCATAAGACATCCGTTCTGGAATGAACTTATTAGTACTCCTCCTGCTCATTACCATCGTCATTGTGAGAGAATCACTCTGCTTTGGCCATGCGAGCACACTAACAGCAGTTGGAAGTATAGAGACAAGATCAGCGTATCTAAGACTTACAGTCACTTTACGCAGAAAAGAAGCCACATCTGAAATGTTATAAAACTATTCTACAGACAATTCGTTGTTTCTATTATACCCTGCACATGTGAAGAATTTCAGAAAAGTGCATAAATCAATTTACCACTTGTAATCATTAATGACGAATTCAACCAAGTGTGGCGTGGAAGACTCTTATAAAGCTCTTTAATTTGATTTCCGTAAAGTTCCTTAATAAGGCGCACCTGCAATAGAATTGCACCAGTTGACTTAATTTGGTAATACGAAAAAAGAAAAACGTGAACAAATTCAGGTATTCATACGTAGCGGCAAGTAGATGCATCCAGGGTTTTAAAAATGTCATCTTGCATTAGAGAAGGACATCAGTAAAGCGGTGGAAAACAAAAATTATTTTCCACAACAAAGGGAAAAGTGGGTATTTTCCCCAACGAAGTCCAAATATCAAAGGTTTAACAATCAACATTTGACGTAAATTTATGTGTCCCAAAATTTTTTAAAACGAATAAATCAAATTTATTTAACTCTACTACCACTTCATATCAAAACAAAAACCAACAAGCTCTCAATAAAAACAATCATACATGTTCCCATTGATCAACAAACTCCTGCAACAATTCTCCGACATGATCTATGAATTTCTGGAGTGCAAACATAGAAAGCCCACGTTAAACAAAAATCAAATACATAATTATATAGCAAATCATCAGCAAGAACCATCCAAAAAATATTACCAGAGCATTAGAAGAAAGGTATTCATTCTGCTTCACGTATTGGCAAGAAAAAAGTCACGGTATGCTCAACGACAGTCATCTTCTCAAGAAATGACTTGCTCTCAAGTCGCAGTGGAACACCTGGCAAGGTTCTCCTGCAATAATGCAGAATCAACAAACAGTTCATTCAATAGAAATTTAGAATTTATGATGCAAAGTAACAGAAACAATTAATGAAAAAACCAGATAAAATCATTTCATCTATGTCGCGTTCTTCAATTCCAGCAATACACCTCACAACAATTCAGGGGAGTAACATACACGTCCGAGATTCCACCCGAATAATGAATATTTATATCTACCTGCGAACGACGTCTCGTACAGAATGCCAATCCTTGCTCCCCCAAGCAACAGATCACTTGGTTCAAAAGATGGGATATGTATGACCAGATGAATTGACTATAAAAACAATAATTCTAGATCAAAGAAACGATATTGCCCAAAGCAAACATATATTTGCTAAGTCCTAACGACCCATACAATACAGAAAGGAAATCTTAAATCACTTAGTATGATAGCTATAAATTTAGTAAATTTAGCAGGTAAGATCAATCCAAAGTCGCAGAATAAGGTCACGATGGAGAACCCAGACGAATTAAGTAAATTGTGCCTAAAAAATAAGAAAAGAACTTAACGACCCATGTGATTATAAAAGTATGCATTAATCTACTAAACTAAATTGATATCCAAGAAACTCAAAACCGAAGGAGTAAACCACACCAATTGGGACCAAAGTAGCCATCAAATTTTAAATTTATAAAACCGAGATCAATTAACCGTATTAAATTAACCATTAAAACCATAAAAGACCAAAATATCAAATATGATGATAGAAGATGACAAAAAATCTCATGGATATGCACGCATATGTAGATATACCTACCAATGTTAATGCAACTTTGAACCAAAATAAAAAATATTTTCAGGGCAAACTGACCTGTAAAACTCAAAAGATTATGGTATACAAATCTTTATCAAATAATAATATAGGGAGTGCAAATTACCCTGATTCATGTGTGCCCACAATGTAAGAATTCAGCACCACAAACTTCAAAATCCTCTCTTTTAACTCCTGCATAAGACGAATGATGAACTATCAGCTATTTCGTAATCTCCACAATACGTAAAGAAATACATTTTCCTTATTGAAAGGCAACATATCATATGAAAGTAATGCCTACCTACTCGGACCAAATATTGCAGATGCTTTAAATTGTGAATATCAGAAAAATTAAATTCTAATTTTCTGAAAATGTCCTAATAAACTCAAACGGAAAAATTCCTTTCTAAACCTAGGGGAGTGCCAAATTTGGAGGAGCTTACCAACAGTTACAGCGATAAACTTGCCATCGGGGCTGAATTTGGCGGTGGCGACGTGGTGTTTGAAGGTGATCCTGTAGAGCACCACGCGGCGGGGCAGGTTGATGAAGAGGCAGCGGTTGTTGTCGTCGATGGCGAGCAGAAAGATACCATCCGCCAAATTCACAGAATCTGCTTAAAAACCACCACCTGGTTGTCCCCCTGAGAAGCTCTCCATCTGCTTAAAAAGGGCGCAATCCATATAATCTAAACCAAAAATATAAAAGGAGGATCTTTTGGAATTACAATAACGATTAACAACTGTAAAAAGTTCATAGCACATATAGAAAAAAACGATGTTGCACAAAAACAGAACAACCCAAATAATAGAATAATTTTTTAATCAAAAGAAGCTTACAATAATCGTGGAGAAAATGAAGTAGAAAAGGAAATAAGAAAACATATTAAAAATAACAATAATAGCTGAATCAATCGGAAAGATACCTTAATGGACCGGAAAAGAAGTGGAAGAAGAGGTGTTGGATGAAGTTTGCTGCAACCGGTAGTCCGAGTTTATCTGGTGTTATTAATCTAGCTTATTCATGCGTAAGAGACTTCAGCTTGAAGGAGAAGAGCCCGACTCATAGATTTCTAATCCGTATACAAATTCGGAGAATTTTTGATTTGTATTCCAAATCTAGATTCATAAATTTCGATTTGTATTCCAAATCTATATTCATAGACATGAATTTCCTAATTCTGATGACGCTACCAAGTTCGAACTTGAAAAATTCGGTGATTGTTTTCTTCTTGTTCAGAGGAAGTTCAATTTTAGTGAAGAAGGTTGTTCGACAACTGATGCCGTTGTTCTCCTTCGGCGGCTCGACGTAATGGATCTGATGCCGAATGTGGTTTTTGTGGTAATAAGGAGGACGACGAACGGTGATGGGTGCCAGTGTAGGCAGAGAAAGCATTGTCTTAGTTTTTTTTTTTTTTTTTGAGAGAAAGATGAGGTGAACGTCGAGTTTTTTTGGGTGGCAGTGGAGGTGGAGCCTTTTGGGTTTTTTCTTTTATATAAATGTTTCTGGGTGAGGCAGACAAGGTGGATGATGAGGGCAAATGAGGGATTTTGTTATGATTAGTGAGAAGTATAGAACGATGTCGTTTTATCGGTTGGAGTTTTTCACCACAAAATCTCACGGAGAAGCAAAAACGACGTCCTTTTTTTTGGATGATTAGGGTTTTTTTTCTCAAGAGCTTACGGATTTTTTTTTTTTTTGGATTGGGATGTATTTATGAATTTCTTTTTTTACCTCTAATAAGTCGCTGAGTGTATTTTTTTTATATTGGGAATGTAAAAAGGTATATTGGAAATCTAAAAAGGTGTATTGAGAATGTAAAAAGATATGCTTGGATGAGATAGATATTAATTAAAAATTCTGAAAAAATGAACGAAAAAACGAACCAAACAGTACACTGAATTTGTGGAATTTCATTTTTGCCCTAATAAGTTACTCCCTCCGTCCCATAATTATTGTCCACTTTGCTCAAAAACTTTTGTCCTAAAATTATGGTCCAATTTGACTTTTTATGGATCAAGTTACACATTTGTCCTTAGTACAAAATATTATCCATAAAATCTTAGTGGTTAAACAATTACTTATGTAGGGGTATATCCGGTTATTTAAGGTAAAATATAGTTAAGTTTGACCAAAAATAAAATCTTTCATTTTAGTAAAATTGGACAATAATTATGAGACGCAGGGAGTACTTAATATTGTGAGGAACTGTATCAAAAGCTTCCGGTTTTAAATTTAAAATTTAGTGAGGAACTGTTTTTATGAAATTTCGATTTTGTCCTTAATAAGTCGCTGATGTCATATCAACCCCATCCAACGAACAAGATCGCTTTGAAGGTGGTCCTTGAATATTTCTTGGGCATTTAATTTCTTGCCTACTGTGACTTTATATTAAGTATAAGGATAATAATAGAGGCAAATGTCTAGTTTATATTAAACTAAAGTCGTACGTGAATATGAAACTCCGATCACATCATATTTTGGGAAAGATTTAAATTTAGAGCAAAGTGCTAGTTTAAAACGAAAACGCCATTAATGAGAATTATTAATGTTCGACCCCATCCTTGAGGTGTTTGTCATTTACAACATTCCAAGTGATCATCTCATATGTTTCTTGTATAAATAAATACTAAGCCAAGATCGAATACTACTAATTAACTAACATCCACCCAAATTATCAATAAAAATGGATCCAACTAGTTCCTCTAAAACCCTTCTTCATTCCATTAAGCCCATGCCATTTGTAATTCTCAACCGTATTTTTGCAGTGATTTACACAATTGCTCTTCTATGTTTATTCTATCACCATGTAACACAACTATCCAAAAGTACCACATCCTCTAGTTTCCTGGTATCAATCTCCATGTTCATAGCTGATCTTCTCCTAGGATTCATGTGGATTACTTGTCAGGCCTTCCGATTACGCCCCGTGACTCGACAAGTCTTCCCGGAAAACCTAGAAAAGATCATCAAAACATCTGATGACGGATCAGTTGCGGAAGATTTTCCGGCAGCTTTGGACATATTTATATGCACTGCTGATCCGGAGAAAGAACCACCAATCAACGTCGTTAATACGGCTTTATCGATGTTGGCTTATGATTATCCCCCGGAAAAGCTCTCTGTTTATGTCTCCGATGATGGAGGATCGGAGTTGACTCTGTTTGCTTTCATGCGAGCTGCTAAATTTGGAGCTCACTGGTTGGCTTTTTGCAGGGAGAACAAAGTCATGGACAGGTGCCCAGATGTGTTTTTCAGGTCAAACAATTATCATCCAATCAAATCTGATCAATCCCAAAAAATCAAGGTACCCAAATACAATTTTCTTTCTTTTTCTTTTTCTACAACAAAATAAGTAATGGAACATAGTATTTTCTCTATCTCGAAATAATAATTTAGATTGGACGTTCATTTTTAGTTTAAATTGTCCAGTGGTGAACACCCTTGTTGTAGCCTGTAAGGGCCAAAATTAGTAGAAAGTTGTTTGAAGCCCATGGCTCCAAATAAAAACAAAAAGATTTAAATTAGATAATTATTTTAAAATAGAGAAGATATTATTTATAGGGTAAATAGGTATAAACCCTCGTGTGATTACCGAAAAGCACACAAACAACCAACAAACTAGTAAGGTCAAGTTTTTAAAACTTTTGCATCCTTATACAATGTCTAATTTTGAGTTTAATTTGTCAATAGACAAAAAAAAAACAAAATGGAAAGAACTTGATTTAAAAGAATTCAATCCAAATCGAATGAATAATATTTTCAATATGTGATATGTGTTCATTTAAAACATTTCGTGATTATATTAGTATTATATTTTTATTAAGCTGAAACAAAGATTATAATAAAGTGGGCACTAAAATATGGCAAAAGCTTGGCTGAACACTCATTGATGTGTAGCCAAAGAAGAGAAATCGGCCATAACAATTCCCATATTGAACCAGAAAAATAAATACTGTAAATGAAAAATCAAAAGGGAAGAAAGATTATGATTTACGATAACTAATTAAATATTTAAATGATAATGATTCATCACTCCCAGTGGGCATAAATTGAAGGATGCCATAACTTGTTGGCTTTACTTTTGTTGGGTCAACAATTTAAGGCCAAGTAACAACTAACACATGGTGAAGTGCCCAAAATCACTATCATGAGAAAGCTACGTACGGGGATTAAAGGATATCGATCGTAGAATTTTTCAATCCATTTTGATCATGCATCTTATTGTATTATTTTATTTTAGTCTAATCGATAAAGTGACATATAAAAATGAGATGGATCAGGGATGTAGTATATATAATCCCCCTCTCCCTTAACATAAATCTCATGTTTCTATAACATAAAAATGAGATGGATCAGGGATGTAATTTAAATTCTTTTCATTACATGGCGAAAAGCATAGATTAAAGTTCGGACTAGCTGAAGCGCCACTGAAATGTTAATTAAATTGTACAAGAATTTCTTTCTTTCTGAAATCTTACTTAATTTGTTAATGACAATTTCTGTTTATTGAAAAACACTGTCACGCGCTACAGTGCTGGTTTTGTCCCACGAAAATAATTCCTCACTCTGGCTATATGCTATTCATTTCATCTCAGAACAATAATTAATTTAGTAAAATTATAATTCAACTAAGTGAATTAAAATAGACTTTTTTCTAAGACGAGTGGATTAGTAAATAATGCTTTTGATTAGGAAAAAAAAAAGAAGAAGAAGGCAAATAAGGGGCCGATCAAATTATTTTTCTGAACTTATTTTTTACAATATTATTTAAATTAAAACTTAATTAGTATAAAATTGTACATCATAAAATTACTGGAAGAGTATTGTAGGTTGTGAGTCTTCACAAATAAGCTTTCGTATTGATATGGTTTTTCGTAAAATGACGTGCCATGGAGTCTTCCAATAGTTTTAGTGAAACTTTAATTTCTATTTTTACTTCGATAATTGGAAGTAATTTCTCTGTTTTTTTTTTTTGTCTAAATTTGGTCACTGTAGTTATGCGAAAATCAAAATTTTGGATTACTAATCATTAATTTTATGTGAATAAAATGCATTGCAGATTATGTATGATAACATGAGAAATAGGATACAAAATGCAACGAAGAGCACAAAGGTTGAAGAATATATTAACGAGTCCGAGCATGAAGCCTTTAGTAAATGGACTGATGACTTCACTCGTGAAAATCATCCGGCAGTGATTCAGGTTTGTTACAGATATATATCCTAAATTCTGCCTTCTCTTTTCCTGTGTTTGGAAAGAAAAAAAAAAAACAATTAAAACGAAACTGTCATCTAATCCGCATTTCAGATGAAAATAATGGCAGAAAACTTAGTTCTTAACTAAAACCGCAATTTTTTCCTTAAAACATATAGTTTGACTGCAATGATTATTCGGGAAAAAAAATTGTGTTATAAACGTCCTAGACACCATATATATATATATATATATATATATATATATATATATATATTATCAAAAAGATATAGAGGCTGGTTAATCTCACTATAAATTTAATTTTTCTTTTTCTTTGAATATGATAAAATTCAGTTAAGTTGAACCTTCTTTTTTTTATACAACAATTACAAGTACCTAATCTATTACATGTGGGGTGAAGCCTATGGGGAGGGGATAGTACTACCAAGGGGGAGACTCCAAGCGCGCACGTCTCGATCTGATAATCGGAAAACTTTCCTGGCGGGTGCAAAATAACATGCACAACTCAACACACAAAGGTGTTGTTAGCGGGATTTGAACCTGAGACCTCTTAGGACCTCAAGTTTTGATGCTATGTCCACTAACACTTGGGCAACGCCTTATTGGCGAGTTGAACCTTAAAGAATTGTTATGGGAAGAAAAAGTGAAACTAAGAAACCCTAAATTAACTTGAGGAGGATTAATTTAGTAATCGTGATTAAATTTTCCCTAGGGTAAGAAAGGATTAAACCGCCCGTACATTATTGGTGTTTTATCTTCTTTCATAATTGATTTTTATTGCATCGGCACGGAACACACCTCACTGGTTTACAACTTCTTCCGTCCTAATAAAATAATCTACATTATAACCTGTGAAATATATTGTGTTTTGTACAATTTACAAATTATCCAATTCAAGTATTGCTTTATATATTTCTCTTTAATACAAAGACTCATGGGTCCAGCTGAAGTACGTCTACTTTTTTGTATACATTAAATCTTGATTATTTTAACCAATTGAGTGTTTAATATGCTATTATTTAACATCAAGTATTTGCTAATTTAACTGTTTAATACTTTCGAGAGGAGCACTTCAAAATTCAAAAGACAGAAAGGTTTCTTGCAACTCAAATCACTCACCGTACTATAAGTACAAGATCAAATTGCATTGGAAACAATTTTAAAAGAAAAAATGGTTCCTGTATTATTTGATATTTGGAATTATCTGAATGGAAAACTATCATTTAATAATCCTTTTAAGATAACTGAACTGTTGTACATTAATTTTACGCCAATTAATGAAGGTTTTGCTGGAGAGCAACAAGGATAAAGATGTAACAGGCCATCCAATGCCAAATCTTGTTTACGTTTCTAGAGAAAAAAGGAGAACTTCTCCACATCATTTCAAAGCCGGAGCCCTAAATACCCTGGTAAGAAATCAATTTGTTAAATTTACTTCTCACTTCCAAAGTTTGGTTATCTCATGTCAAATGTATCTTACTTTTATTATACATTTTCATTTGATTATAGATTTTGGAAAATGCTGCTCTTTTAGGGAAAAAAAAAAATTCCTAGCTGCCGTTCATAGGGCTTAAAAGAAATACAGTAGTAAGAGTAGTCAATAAAGATAAATAGTACTTTGTTTTGGAACAAAAAGCATATTTATTAAATCTTCTTTTCCAAAAATTTAGAAACTATATTCCACTTTCTCATGACATAATTATAGCAAGCAAGATATAATTTTTTAGTGCTATATATATTTTCATAGATATTTAAAAAATAGAAAGGATGGTAAGAGATATTATTACAAGAAGAATATAGATCCAAAGCTCTTTCAAGTTTGAGAGGCATGCATACATATATCTTCCAATAATAATCAAATTTTAGAGGTGTATCGGAATCTATGATAATGTATTTACTTCTTCAAATTGAATTTAGAATTTTATTTGAATTTGGCAATAATCTCAAAAAAAAAAAAAATTAAACACCTGAATATTTTGAAACAAGATCACGAAGGGAGGATTTTTATTTTAGGAATGCAAATTATCCTTAGAACCATATAGTAGCATGTTGAAGAATTAAGTCTTTTATTTTTTTCGAATAGGACCTTTTGTGACACTTTTGATATTACACTTGTATAACATGCTCTCTGATTTTAATAGGTAGTTTGCAACTAAAATGAACATTCTTACAAAATAGTAAGTAAAAATATGATTTGTAATGCAGCATGTGTCCAATATTGTTCAAGAGATTCACAAAATTTGTAAAGCCAAAAGATCAAACGAAATTCTTTGTCCTTTCATAACAATTTACTCTTTTTTGTTTTTCCTAGATTCGGGTGTCAGCAATAATGACCAACGCGCCCATAATCTTAACCCAAGATTGTGACATGTTTTCAAACGATCCAAGAACACCTTATAATGTACAATGTTATTTCATGGACACTTCAATTCAACCAACATTAGCCTACATACAATTTCCTCAATGTTTTCATGGCTTGAACAAGAACGATATCTATTCATCTGAGATGAAACGTTGGTTTATTATGAACCCAAGAGGCATGGATGGAGTATTGGGCCCAGATAACATGGGATCGGGATCCTTTTTCATGCGTAGGGCTTTCTTTGGCGGGCCTTCATCATCTTCATTTATAGATCCAAGAATGCCACAGTTGAGTCCTTTATATCATAATGTCAGCAAGTCTACATCAATTAGGTCAGAAAATATTTTAGAATTGGCAGATATTGTTGCAGGTTGCGACTTTGAGAAACAGACCAAATGGGGTTCTGAGGTAAGAACTAGACAGAATATGAATCCTTTGAATCATTTTTAATTAGGAAAAGGATTTTTTTTTTCTTTTTTCAGTCTCGTCTTTCTGCATTGGAAATTTTTTAATTCATTGATCTACATTTTACTATTATGAAATGAGATAATGAAAAATGAAAGAACAAAATCACCAAATCACGTTCTTAAAAGATGCAAACTTAACAGAGCTGGTTTTGTCTCTTAAATTATGCAACATCATACACTATCCTACTTCATTTTACATTTTCGCTAACTCTATCAGTTTCCTAAAAAATAATGCCAGGTTGGATTTAGATATGGATCTTTAGTGGAAGACTATTTTACGGGCTATCGTCTTCATTCTTTGGGCTGGAAATCAATATTTTGCAATCCGCAGAGACCGGCATTTTTGGGCGATGTACCCAATTCCCTTTTCGATGTGGTGAACCAACATAAGCGATGGTGTGTTGGACTCCTTGAGGTGCTATTCTCAAAGTTTAGTCCACTCACTTTTGGTATGCAAACTTTGGGTCCAATTGAAAGTCTTTGTTATGCAAGTTATGCTTTTTCCCCAATGTGGTCGTTTCCAATCACCCTATACTCCTTCATCCCACAATTAGCTCTTCTCAACAACCATTGGATCTTTCCCAAGGTATGTCTATTCAGTGTTTAATTAAAGTGTTTCAATAGATCATAGGTAAGACTTTAATTTATGTCTACAAGATTATGCGTGGATTATGACTTATGATAAAGAAAATTAAAATATAGAGTGAAATAACTAGTAAATGATGTGAACCAAATGAAAAGAAAATTTACTTTAATCTATTACTGACTGCTGAATTGATAAATATTACTTTTATTTATATATTTTTGTTGATTTTTACTTTCTTAGAACTCTTTTAGAGTGTGAGCTAATAACAATCACGATAATCACCCTTTATTTTACATGCATATGTATTTGAGTGTAAAAATAAATGAGAACTCCATAATTTAATGCCATACTAATTATGTTCATTGAAACTATTCACAATTTATAATCATCCAAATAGTCTAAACACTTGTGTTCATCTGCTTTAGTTCATAATCTTTATGTTTCAGCAATCATCAAATTTCACTTCTTTGGTTCTATTGAAGGACAACCTTTTTTGCAAATCAAAATCATCGATCTAGGTCAAAATTGACCCATTGGCTAGATTGTTCTTAAGATGAATTATAATCAAAATTTATCAACTAATTTTGGAACATTTTCAATATGACAGGCTAAAGTGAATTGCGAAACCAAACAAATCACTCATTTTCCTTATTGTGTCAAATAGGTCAGCAAATGACATTTAAAGATAAATATTTAGATAGAGTTAGAACTAATAAAGATAAATTTTTCATCTTTTAGGTTTCTTCTATTTGGTTCTTAGTGTATGTGTTCCTTTTTCTTGGATCATACATACAAGACTCCCTAGAATTTATGTTAGCTCAAGGGACATTTGCAAGGTGGTGGAATGAGCAAAGAATCTGGAGCATAAGAGGGTTCACAAGTTACTTATTTGGAAGCCTTGAATATCTGCTAAAAATCCTAAACTTTTCTACTCATGGATTTAATGTCACTAACAAAGTCGTTGATGATGAACAAAGCAAGAGATACCATCAAGGGATATTCGACTTCGGACCGCCCTCCTCCTTCTCATCATTCATGATGTTTTTGCCATTAGCAACAGCAGCAGTTGTCAATTTCGTAGCATTCTTTGGTAGTTTGATGCAGATTTTCAAAGGATCATTATCGGGGGATATTAATTTTAATGTTGATGGTGGTTTTTTGCAACTGTTCTTGTGTGGTTTTGGTGTGTTGAATTGTTTGCCTGTCTATGAAGCTATGGTAATGAGAAACGATAAAGGAAGGATGCCATTACTAACCACCATTTGCTCAATTTGTTTAGCATGGGGTCTTTGTTTAGCAACATAATTTGTACTAGATTTTTAGAGGCCATTTACTTGTTGACCATAGTTTTCTATTTTGGGATGATAATAGAGCTAGCAATTAGTTGCTTTTTGTAATGAATTCTTACGTCAAGCTTTTTAGTAAACATGTGTGGTTTTTAGTTCTTGGATTATTTTTTACTAATTGACATGTGTGGGTCCTGATAGTATTTCTCTATCTTTCTTTTTTTATAATTATTACTAGTGATGTCTGGTCGTGCGATGCGCGACCTTGGCCCACTATATATATAGATTTTAGAAATATTTGTATCTAAAAAAAAAAAATTTCGTATTTGGCCCGATATATTTTAGAAATATTTGAAGAATTTTAGAAATGTTTTATAAGTGTGATATTTGTATTTGCCAAAAAAATAAATTATATTTGGCCCGGTACGTTTTAGAAATGTTTGAAAATTTTAGAAATATTTTATAAGTGTTACTTCTTAAATATAAATAAACTTGATCAAATCCCTTTTACCCTATTAAAGCAGAATACATGATGTTGATGTGGCAACTTCTTATTAAAAAATTTTGGCTCCAAATACACCATAATACATAAACCATTTTGCCATGTGTCATTCTCTTTCTAAAAAAAAAATAAAAAATAAACTTATTTCTAGATAAAAAGCTTCTAAAACACACTTCCGGATCACATTAAATTCCTACAAATTAGTAAAAATTAAAATTCAAAGCCCTTAGTCAAATTCCTTCCAAACTGTTGAGCACTCGCATTTACTTCAAATTCATATCAAAAGGTTTCAAATTAAAAATTTTGCTCCCATGTCTCCAGGCGAACAAAAAAAACAAAACTTTTAATGAAATTTATTGTTGTTATGATCTTTATTTTTGATTTCTCACAATTTGATTCCTATATTACTTTAATTAGTTTAGAAGATCATTTTTTTATATATATATATATAATCAATTAAAAGATCCTAAAATTTAGATGATACTTTCAAATAAATATCTTTCCAACCTCATCTAACATTAAATTCACTTATAGATATAATTATTATTTCTATCATTACACATTATAATAAAAAAATATATATAACCACATACGTATTTCACTTAGATTAGAATTTCCCTTTCCATTTGCAAAAAAAAATACTTATAACGGAAGGGGCCGTCCGGGCATCTGCCCGGGCCGAGCATCTAGTATATGTCTTGAAGTAAATGCTAGACAAAATATAAAAGCATCCTAATAAGTTTAAATATTAGTAAGATAATTTATTGATGTTCTCCATTGGTTGTGCCAAATCAATACTTAGTTTTGGAAATTTATAATAGCTTTGTAGTTAGCTTCCTCCAAAGGGTATACGCTTAATTGTTGGAACTATTTCTTCCAAAAGTTTATAAGTAGTAAAATATCAAAAATATGATTTTGAAACTGGTTAATTATTGAAACTGGTTGATCACAAATATGATAATGAAAATAATATAAATTTGCATAGGTTTCAAGATATAACAAAAAAGAACTCACCTCACCATGGCAAATAAAAAAAAACGTAAAAGATAGCCCATTAAAATTTAAAATTAATTTTTTTCTGTAGGTAAAAATGATGCATAAAAACACAAATAAATGTAGAAACATTATTCCTTCCCTCTCCACCTCAAATTCATAAAAGGATTCCTTATAAATTAGTTAAAAGAAGCGACGTGAACTATTTATATGACGAGAAACTAAAAAAGTCAGAAAATCAAATCCAAAAAAGTATATTCTTGAAACCCCGAATACAAAAAAAGAAACGTGCTTCATTTGCAAATAAAATAATAATAATAATAATAATAATAATAATAATAATTGATCAACTGGGAGTACGAAACAAAATCAAAAGTAATTAGCCATATATGAAAAAAAAACCTGAGACTCCATAATTAAAAAAAAAAAAACCACTCTAATTGAATGAAACATAAAAAAAAAATTTTAAAAACCACACTTTGTAACAAAAACCCAATCAATCAATTCAATCCAAACATAACTAAAATCATACAAAAATTCTAGGCTAACTAACTAAATAAGAAATCACATCATACTACCTGACAACGGCTACGGTAGCTGTAACGGATGGACGCATAAAAATAATAGTAATAACACTATCCTTGAACGGGAAAAACAAAAAATAATAAAAGCCAAACCAATAATCTGTGAAAATAAAATCATTTAAATTTTAATACCTGTAATGGCACCACCACAACGGCCGAAGCAAGATCAATGAGAATTTTTTTTTCCTTTGTGTTTATATAGAGAGGTAAAGAGAATACTTTTTGAAATTGAAATTTTATCCGATTAAGATGTAGTTGATCATCACTGATGAAAAGATTGAACATGCTAATAGGAAAGGAGTATATTTCACCACATATTCTCAATTGATGATTGATGAGGAATTTGTTTTTGTTTTAATTATGGAGAAGGGATTGATTAAGGAGTCGATTGTCGTGGAGATGAGGATGAGAATTTGGGTTTTTTATGAACCTGTGGTTTTTTTTTTGTTTGTTTTGACGAAAATAGGAGGTGGAAGTGAATTTAGACTGCATTTGCCTTTTAAATTTAGGAGATGTGGTAATAAAAATTTATTTTAAAAATATGATGTGGAAATGCCACATGGCAAATGATGGTGCTTTCTCTTAAGTGTGGTTTTTGTTTCTAATATAGTAAGATATTATAAATTTTCATTGTGAAAAGAATAATGCGCCCTCCATATCAGAAAACTAGGCTTTGTTGTCGCGCGTTGCGCGGTCAGTGTTTTTGTTACATTTTTATACATCGTTCGTAATTTAGAACATTTGCGATAGTTAAATTTCGGTAACACATTTAAAGGTTAATTTTGACAAAAAATGTAACAATTCAATTTTCTATTTTGTAATTTTTAGCACATTGTATCTCTTTCTGTAATTGAATCATCTTATAGTTCAATTGTAATTCCAAGATTACCCGGTGCACATCCAGAAATTGTTATCTATACATAACTAAAAGCCTCTTAGTGAGTTTAGAATCTTGAACGCCATTGGTCAAAAATTAAATTGAGCATTCTGATTGACTCATTAGTTCACATGGCATCATCAATTTTAAATTGAGCCCTTTGATTGGTTAATATATTAACATGACATCAGCAATTTATAACAAGGCTATAATGGTCAATTAATAAAGTTATTTTTCTTTTTTTGCCAACCAAAATACTCAAATACTAAACTGGCTGCGCGATGAGTAAAGTTCTAGTTCCAAAGTAAATACCTGTAAAACAAGATCATATAACACATAAATCTAAATCCATCACTTCGATGAAATCACTAACATGGTGGATGAAATGTATCGGAAAATATGAATAATAATTTCTTGTACCAAAATATGACATCGTGGATATTATACCAAAATGAGAGGATCATGTAAATATCGCATGCGATTATAATATAAGAATTTATACACAAATCGGTATTTATTGTTAATTAGTGACATGGGTCGGATTGTTCTTATGATAACTTTGTTTCGTGAAGAAATGTCTTAATGAGCACGATGAATAAAATACATGAATGCACGTCAAATGTAGCATCTCACCGAGTAATTAGTATTTAAAAAGCTGGGTGTATTCACTATACGTGTAATGAATCAAAATGAAAAATCTTTTTTACTGTACATCGAACGAAAGATAATTTCAAAGCAGCATTCTTGGAAGAAAAGCCCAAAAATTCTTGTCATCAGAAAGGCAGGACCAACTGGTCCGGGGAAATGGTCACTATAAGGAGTTTGTTACTTCTGTTTCCCGATTCTTTGTTTCAGATCCCAGAAGTTTATGAAATGATATGAACTTTTTTTTTGCGTTTTGATCAGTTTAGCCCGATAATGGATCTAATGACTATGGAAGAAAGGGCTAAGAAGTAAAACGCTGAGAAACATAGAAAAGATTAAAAGGTTATTTTGTTTTTACTATTGAAGAATGCATAGAAAGTGGCTTCCCCTTGAGTTTCAGGGAATGAAAGAAATTGAATACATCTCAAAACATTATTACTCAGCCTAATCCTTAAAACTATCAAACAATAGATTAGTTATCCTACCCCAAATCTTTCATCAATTAACTTGGGAAACCATTGATCACCATATACTTTCTTCGTTCTACATATATGAATTATGAAAAGAATACTATAGAATAAAGAATATGATACAATCCAATAACGGATTGAAGCCAATGCATCATTTTGCCTATTTGTCCTGCTCTATGCACAGTTGATCAATCCATGATGGCACAATGTCATTGAACCCTCCATTATGCTTCTGCTCTGAGCTAAATAGTTGAACGTCTTTTACCAAGTAATTGACCCAAGAAACATCAGGTTCATCTATATTTGGAGTCCTACTACTTGTTGTGGCAAAGCAGAATTACTGTTGTCGCAATACGCAAACGATGTTGACTTCCCCAGCTTGACTATACCTAAAAGTTGACATAGAGCAGCGAAAATGAGTGGTGGTGCAGAAGTTCATTGCCAAATCTGTCCAGATTATGCTTGAGATTTTTTTGTGTACAGTTAAAATAAAATTCACAAGAAAAAAACATAGCTCTTAATATAAATTAAATTTGAAAATCAAGGCATCCACATCACAAACTGCAAAACCTATTCACTATATCAAAATGAGTTACACATGTCACATGCCAAGGAAACTAACTAAAACTCTGTCATCTTGCATATGATCTTAAAACTCTTACCTTGTGCAAGGTAGTTGCAAGCTTCCAAGTTCCATCCAATGAAATTTTCAGTATCTGTTTTAGTAGACAAAATGCCATTACAGAAATGGTACAAGGCCATAATTTTCTTAATATATTCCGTAAATTGAGACCTTCATTAAGGGAATCAAACTGCATATATTAGTCTTTGGTCAGAAGAGTAGCAATTGGTTCGTTAACCTCTTCAACTACCGTCCCAATACCAACCCATCTATAAAATTAAAACTTCGTTAGAAATAAGGGCTCACGAGTCACAACTACACACAGATATGCTGCACACAAGCGTTGATTGAAGACAACATTATTAGCCAGACCTCTCAATAGAAGCTCAGTCAAATTTGAGCAAGAGAGCGAGAACAGATTAAATTAATCAATTCCAACTATCATGTTTGACTAAAAGAGAAAAGTTGTAATCAAGCAAACTAAAGCAAAACTCAAGATAACATCCACATATGCACCCAGATTTTTGAAAGGAGATTACAATACGAAGTTCAAAGAGAA